TTTTGTCTGCTTGTCCCCCTCCACAATGCCCATTCAGGCCTTTTTTCTAGTTGGAAACAGTTCTGGGTCGGCTGATTTTAATTGGAAACTGTCTCTTTAAATTTCGAGGCGATCTGTGGGCATGCATAGTAGAACCCTCAGAGAGTGGGGCTTGGTTCACTAGCTCAGGGACCCCTGTAGTCACCAGAATTTCAGTGCTCAGACAGCAAGGGACCAATGAACAGCTACCAAAAGAAAAGAATATCCACACCTTTATCTCTGCGCTTCTGCCAGGCATCTGTGGCTGCTCTGATCCTTCCCCCACCTGGTCTCACACAAGATGGCGGCTCCTGGAATAGCTAAGCATTCCGAACTAGAAAGCAATGGGTTTCTTGCTTCTGCCACAAATTCCCCCAGCTGTAAACCTTCCAACCTCCTAAATATTCCTTTATATGTGGTTCAGAGTTCTGAGACCATCCCCTGAGCCTGCTTGGTCGGGTATTTTGTGTTTTTGCTGGCAGATCTCCTTAATACACTTCCACCCAATCCGCCATTTTTTTTGTTCCTCTAAAACACCTTTTTGCAGGCCATATGGATTATCAAATTAAATATTAGCCTGCTATATCTAGTCAAATATTTAAGTAACTCACCCCTAATGTGATGGCTAGACTTCTTGTATGGTGCCGTAAGATCAGCCCTGGACTGCGAACCAAAGAGTCAGTTGTTCAAACCCACCAGATGCTCCTCAGAACCCCTATACAGGGTCAGAATCGACTTAATGGCACTTAGCAGCAATAATAACAATACTGTGATGGCTGGAACTGAGGTTACCTTGGCAGGGCCACAGTAAATGATTTCACAAGCCTGACGTGGCCTGAGGGCTGGACATTCCTCATCCCTGCTCTAAAAGGAAGCTTTTGGTTTTTCTAACCTAGGAAAGAGAAGACTCAAGCTTCATCCCTTCCCCAGATTCTTGGGGGACACAGTGACCCGGAGGTCCCTACAAGAGCCCTCAAAAGTCAGCAGTGACATGTTGTTCAGTGGGCCAGACTTTCCCCAGGGTGTCAAGGCCTGCTTGTTGCTCTGAAGCCCCTTCTGACTCAGGGGTAAACCCAGCACCAGCTCTGTCTGTCTCTGGATTGAGCACGTCTCTCCCACACCCACCAGGCACCACCTGCTTGCCCGCTGTGCTGCCATGGGGTTCAGAAGAGTTTGTTGGATTGAGGCAGGTGAAGGGACACTTTCTGTGTCATCATCTTCTCAGAATCTTCCAGCAAGTAGATCAAAAAAAGTTTTTAAAAAAGAAAGAGAACCCCACTAGACCAGGTGATCTCTAAGCCAACATTTCACAGTTGTACACATTTATAGTCTCCAGCTTTCGTTCAGTCCTCGGTACCCTTGGGCCACACTTTTATGTCTTCCCTGCTTGCTCTGCTTCCCCAGAGGGAATATTTGAGACTTTCATTTCTCTCCTCTAGCCCCTTGCTTGCCCTGCTTCTTGTTCAGTGTCAGCCCATGACTTTCAAATTTCCCATCCCAGGTGTTAACTTGCCGCCCAGCTTCTTTGCTCACTTGTAAGCTGACCTTCTTTCACTGTCTGCCTGCCTGTCTGCCACCCATCCATCTTTGCTTCCTGTGTGACTCTCTCTTCTCCCATGATTTCTGTGGTAGTGTGTGCTCCTGGTTTTCCCATTTCACTGGGTCCCCTCTTTCAGTTTGTTTTGCTTCTAGACTCACCCGACTCTGATCCATCACATATGGTACTTACTGGCCGCCAGGCATAAAAATAATCATATCAGCCTCTGTCTGAAACCTTTCAGTGACAAGAACAGGCAAAACTAATCTGTAGTTAGTAGTAAATGTTATGCAGCATTGCAGATGTAACTCATGCCATTGAATCGTAAACTTTAAAAATGACTAAAAACCCCCATGTAAACGATCACATAATTCACAATAAAACATTAAAAAAAAAAAAACTAAAAACCGAACCCACTGCCATCAAGCTGATTCTGACTCATTGCCCCATAGGATTTCTTAGGCAGCAAATCATTACAAAAACATATCGCCAGATCTTTCTTCCACAAAGCAACTGGTGAATTCGAACATTAACCTTGCAGCTAGCAGCCAAGCACTTTAACCACTTCACCAACAGGGCTCTCTAAAAATGGCTAAAGTGGGGGGAAAACAGACAGACAACTTGCCTTAGTGATAGGAGTCAGAATAGGGGTTACCTGTGGACAGGGGATAGGAATTGATTGAACGGGCACAAAGGAGGCTTTGAGGATGCTCAGAATATTCCATCTCTTGATTTGGGATATGCATCCATAACAATCCACTGAGCTGCATATTAGGACTAGTGCATTTTACTCTGTATGTTATACCTCAGGAGCATGGCGGCTCTAGAGGGTAAGCGCTCAGCTGATGAGAACCACAAGGTCAGTGGTTTAAGCCCACCAACCACTCCATGGGAGAAAGATGAGGCTTTCTGTTCCCACAATGGAATACAGCTTTGGAAACATATACAGTGTCGCTATGAGTCAGAACTGCCTTGATGGCAGTTAACAACATTATACCTCAATTAAAAAAATTTTAAAACAACTTTCAGTGGCTCTTCATCATTTCCACAGCTTAAAATCCAAAGACCTTAAAATAACCTACAGTTACCTATTGATTTCTCCATCAAGTCTTGATTCCAGCATCTTCCTGTGGAACCTATCCTAGTCGTTGTTGTTGTTGTTAGGTGCCATTGAGTCAGCACCAACTCAAAGTGACCCTATGCACAACAGAACAAAACACTGCCTGATCCTGGGCCAGCTTCACAACTGTTGCCACACTTAAGCCCATTGATGCTGCCACTTTGCCAGACCATCTCGCTGGGAGTCTTCCTCTTTTTCTCTGACCCTCACCTTACCAAATATGCTATCCTTCTCCAGCGACTGGTCCCTCCTGACAATATGTCTGAAGTATGAGAGACGAAGTTTGGCCATCCTGGCCTCTAAGGACCACTCTGGCTGTACTTCTTCCAACATATCTGTTTGTTCTTTTGGTAGCCATGGCACTTCCAATATTCTCCTCCAATACCATAACTCAAATGCATCAATTCTTCTACAGTCTTCCTTATTCACTGTCCAGTTTTCACATGCATATGAGGTTATTGAAAATACCATAGCATGGGTCAGGTCCACCTTAGTCCTCGAGCTGACATCTTTGCTCTTCAACACTTTAAAAAAAGGTCTTGTGCAGCAGATTTGCCTAATGCAATACATCGTTTGATTTCTTGACTGCTGCTTCCATGAGTGTTGATAGTTGATCCAAGAAGAATGAAGTCCTTGACAACTTCAGTCTTTTCTCCGTTGATACTAAAGTTGTTTATTGGTCCAGTGGTGAGGATTTTTGTTTTCTTTACATTGAGATGCAATCCATACTGATCTTCATCAGTAAGTATTTTAAGTCTTCATCACTTTGAGCAAGCAAGGTTATCGCAGGTTGTTAATGAGTCTTCCTCCAATCCTGATGCTATGTTTTTCTACATATAACCCAGTTTCTAGGATTATTTGCTCATCATACAGGTTGAATAATTATGGTGAAAGAATACAACCCTGTTGCACAGCCTTCTTAATTTGAAACCATTCAGTGTTCCCATGTTCTGTCCGAACAACTGCCTCTTGGTCCACGTACAGATTCCTCATGAGCACAATTAAGTGTTCCAGAATACTCATACTTCACAATGTTGTCCATAGCTTGTCATGATCTACATAATTGAAAACCTTTGCATAGTCAATAAAGCACAGGTAAATATCTTTCTGATATTCTCTGCTTTCAGCCAAGATCCATCGGACATCAGCAATAATATACCTCGTTCTAGGTCCTCTTCTGAATATGACTTGAACCTCTGGAAGTTCTCTGTTAATGTAAGCTTGCAGCCATTTCTGTATTACCTTTAGTAAAACTTTATTCGCATGGGATATCAAAGATATTGTCTAATGATTTCCACATTCCCTTGGGTCACCTCTCTTTGAATGGACACAAATTCGGATCTCTTCCTATCAGTTGGCCAGATAGTTGTCTTCCAAATTTCTTGGCATAGATGAGTGAGTGCCTCCAGTGCCACCTCACTTTCTTGAAAGATTTTAATTTTTATCCCATCAATTCCTGGTGCCTCATTCTTTGCCAATTCCTTCAGTGCATCTTGGACTTCTTCCTTCAGTGTCATTGGCTCGTGATCATATGCTACCTCTTGAAATGGTGGAATATCAACCATTTACTTTGGTACAGTGGCTCTGTGTATTCCTTCTACTTTTGATGCTTTCTGTATCATTCAATAATTTGCCCAGAGAATCTTCCAATAACAAAAGTCGAGCCTTGAATTTTTTCTTCGGTTCCCCCAGCTTGAGAAATGCTGAGCGTGTTCTTCGCTTTCAGGGCTCCTAACACTTAGTACAATACGAATTAAAAAAAAAAAAAAGTCATCAAGTTGATTCCAACTCTTGGCAACCCATGTGTGTCACAATAGAACTGTGTGCCATAGGGGTCTCAGTGGTTGATTTTTTTGAAAGTAGATCCTGAATTCTTTCTTCCAAGGTGCCTCTGACCCAAACTTCCAACCTTTCCGTTAACAGTAGAGCATGTTTCTTCTACTTTAAGCACGGTCTAGACTGATCCTTAGCAGCCTACATTGTGACTGCATGGCTACTTCCCTCACGAAACTGGGGGCTCCCTGAGGATGGGGGAGCCATCGCCTTTTGGTTCCATTACGCTTCTGGTGCTTCACAGTAACTGGCACATTCCGCCCTCGATCTGTCTTGAAGGAATGCAAGTTCCTTTGTAAGTGTCTGGTTTGACTTTCACTGAAAAGTTTCCTCCTTCTGGCCTGCAGGATGTTTCTTCACTGAGAGGAAGACTGTTGCATGATGGCAGTTTTTGACACGCCTCAGGAGGCCTTTGGCTTCTTACGTCCAGTCTGTGTTCAGCTCACAAAGACCCAGACAGTGGAAAATGTGGAACATCTGCAGGCACAGTTACGAGTCGTCAGTGACTCTGCCCTTCAGGAACTTCAGCAGTATGTCCTCTTCCCTCTGCGATTTACCTTGAAGACCCCGGGTCCCAAACGAGAGCGTTTGATTCAGAGCGTGGTGGAATGCCTCACATTCATCCTCACTTCAACATGTGTGAAGGAGCAAGAACTTCTCCAAGAACTCTTTTCAGAGCTCTCTGCTTGCCTGTATTCACCCAACTCCGAAAAGCCTGCAGCTGTATCAGAGGAGTTGAAATTGGCAGTGATCCGGGGACTTAGTACATTAATGCATTCGGCTTATGGGGACATCATTCTGACTTTTTATGAGCCCTCCACTCTGCCTCGTTTAGGATTTGCTGTATCCTTACTGCTAGGCCTAGCAGAACAGGAGAAGTCAAAGCAAATTAAAATTGCTGCCTTACAGTGTTTACAGGTTCTCCTCTTTCAATGTGATTGTCAGGACCATCCAAGGTCCTTAGATGAGACTGAGCAAAAGCAGCTGGGGAATTTGTTTGCTTCCTTTTTACCTGGCATCTCAACTGCACTGACCAGGGTGATCACAGGAGACTTTAAGCAGGGTCACAACATTGTCGTATCTTCCCTGAGGCTCTTTCACAAGACAGTGGGCTTCATTATGGCTGATGAACAGCTCCAAAGAATCTCAAAGATCCAGGCAAAACCTGTAGTCGAGCAGAAAGTAGCAGAACTGATGATTCACAGGGAAGCAGATTGGGTTAAAAATACTGGGGCCAAGTTGACTCTCCTTATTAAACAGATAACTGACTGTGTTTCCATTCACCCACACTGGAAGGTGAGACTGGAACTGGTAGAACTTGTCAAGACCCTTCTTTTGAAATGCAGTCAGTCACTGACGGAATCTACTGGTCCCCTTCTGAAGGCTTTGGTGGGTCTGGTGAATGATGAGAGTCCTGAAGTCCAAGCCGAATGCAATGAAGTTCTGAGACATTTTGCTGATCAGAAGGTAGTAGTGGGCAACAGAGTCTTTGCTGACATCTTGTCAGAAAACCTGCATTCCCTTGCTACTTCTCTTCCCCGACTAATGAACTCCCAAGATGATCAAGGAAAATTCTCTACTCTTTCCTTGTTACTTGGTTATCTGAAACTCTTGGGCCCCAAAGTAAACTTTGTCCTCAACTCTGTGGCCCATCTGCAGCGCCTTTCCAAAGCACTCATCCAAGTTCTAGAACTCGACGTGACTGGCATCAAAGTTGTTGAAGAGCGGGGTTGGAACTATGATGATCTGAATGCTTCTGCAAAGACCTCAGCTGCACGGCCATGGAATCAAATCCAGAGGAGATATTTCCGCTTCTTTATGGATGAGAGGGTTTTCCTGCTCTTACGGCAGATCTGTCAGCTTCTTGGTTTTTACGGGAACCTCTGTTTACTTGTGGACCACTTTATGGAACTGTACCGTGAATCTGTGGTTTACCGAAAGCAAGCCGCCATGATCCTTACCGAACTCGTTGTAGGAGCTGCTGGGCTGGAGGTGGATGATCTTCATAAAAAGCATATTCAAACAAGCCCAGAGGAACTGAGAGAGATCGTGACATCTATCCTTGAAGAATACACAAGCCAAGAAAACTGGTACTTGGTTACCTGCCTGGAGGCTGAAGAAATGGGAGAGGAGCTAATGATGAAGCAGTCAAGCCTCCAGGCCATCACAGCTGGTGCACACACTTGCCAAGTCACATCTCTTCCAGCCTTACCAAAGCCAAGTGCTACTATTTGCTCCATGAACAGCAACATCTGGCAAATATGCATCCAGTTGGAAGGGATTGGCCACTTTGCGTATGCACTAGGAAACGATTTTCGCATGCTCTTAATGTCAGTTCTCTATCCCATACTGGAGAAGGCTGGAGACCAAACCCTGCTTATCCGTCAGGCAGCTACCAGAGCTATGGTGGGCGTGTGCCATGCATGTGGCTACAACTCCGTGCAGCACCTAATCAATCAGAATTCAGACTACTTGGTGAATGGGATCTCGTTAAATCTGCGTCATCTAGCTCAGCACCCGCACACCCCAAAGGTCTTGGAAGTCATGCTGAAAAACTCTGATGCCAGCCTACTTCCTTTGGTGGCAGATGTGGTTCAAGACGTATTGACCACCCTGGACCAGTTTTACGATCAGAGAGCAACTTCCTTCGTCAGTGTTCTGCACGCCCTGCTGGCTGCATTAGGTACATCCAGTGTCCTCTTTAATGCCAATTTGGGAGACAGGGCTGATATCCTCATTTGCCTCACCTTAGTTTTCCATTGTTTGTGATTATGATATGGAAGACATTATTTGGATAGCTGTTTTCCCAGTCCCACGTGTTATGGTAGGGTTCCACTGTGGTTTGTTGTTGTTGTTTTAGGTGGTTTCTGGTTTTGTTTTTCCTACACTTTTAATGATCTCAACCATTTTATGTGCCATGGAGTCAGTTCTGACTCATAGCAACCCTGTACAGGGTTTCCGAGGCTGTAAATCTTTATGGAAGCAAAAAGCTTCATCTTTCTCCCACAGAACAGTTGCTAGTTTCGAACTGCTGACTGTAAGATTAGCAGCCTGCTTCATAACCACTACGCTACCAGAGCTCCATGTGTGGCACTGTGGGTTAATGTGCCAGACTGCAAAGCCATTTGAACTTCACACTTACCGGCTGCTCCTTGGAAACCCTATACAGGGTTGCTGTGGGTCAAAATCGAGTTGACAGCACTTAACAACAGCCATTTATGTGGCGCTTTAGGCTAATGTGTCAGACTGCAAAGTCATTTGAACTGCAAGGTAGGTGGTTCAAGCTCACCAGCTGCTCCTTGGAAACCCTACACAGGGTCACTATGTGTCAGAATTGACTCCATGGCACTTCACAACAACAATAACCATTTACTGAGCTCCTGCTCTGGGCCTGGAATATAAACCTTGCAGACGAAATATAAACATTATCATTATTTGTACAGATAAGACAGAGTACAGCTCAATGAGCTCTTACCTACCCAGGGTCACACAGTTAATGAGAGTAAAGTCAAGATTTGTGACAATTTGGTCTGACTTCAAAGATCATTTCAATATACGAAACTGCTTCTAGTGATACTAAGTGTTAGCAGTAGCTGTGCTAATGAAGAGCAGGAATAACATGAGTTATTCAGACTTCAGATTGCCTGGTCCCCTACTGTCCAACAGAGCTTTCTGTGACAATAGAAATGTTCGCTCTGTGTGCTATCTAATATATTATTTGCTAGCCACATTGACTAGTAGTACTATAGAAGAACTGAATTTTTCATTTTATTTCATTTTCATTTAAGTAGCCATAGGTGACTAGTGGCTGTGGGACAGAGGAGGTTTAGAAACTCTTTTTAGCTTTTCAGTTGCATGCATTGGTTTGGTTTTCTCCTCCTCCCTTTGATCTTGTTGGGTGCCTGCTAGAAGGGTTAACCATGACAAAAATTTGACATGACAAAAATTTGAACTAGAAGAAAAGGATCCCTTAGCTGAGTAGTTTTTCTTTGAATGAAAAACTAATACCCCAGGTGGCCATAGTTATGATCGTTCATTCACTTGTGAACATTCATGTGCAGCATTAATGTTTTTGATTCATTGACCTAGTAAAGAGTGCCTGCCCTACATCAGGCACGAGGGTTCAGCAGTGAACAAAATGGATAAACTCTCAAGGAGCTTTCCTGCTAACCATATAAACAAATCATGAAAGGAGCTCATTCCTGATTTTGATAAGCACTGCAGAGAAAATATCTGACTGGATGGAAGAGAAACAGGGACAGAGGGCTCTCAGTTGAGTGGTCTGAGAGGGCCTCTCTGAGGAAGTGCTGCTGGAGTAGAGGCTTAAAGGCCGAGAAGGGCCTGTTAGGTTCTTTTTATGACTTCTAAGAACATTCAGGCAAGGGAACAGCAGGTGCAAAAACCTGCAGAAAAGGAAGGGCTTGAGGTCTTTGGGAAATAGAAATGAGGCCACTGCAAGGTAAAACTGGAAAGGTTGGGACAACAAAACCTGCAGGGTATGTAGACCGAAGGAAGGAGTTTGGATTTTAGACACTGGGGGAAAGAAGCCAGTGTTGTGAGCTAGTCACTGGGAAGCAACAGTGAACAAGAGTCCTAAGAGTGGCTAGCTGCTTATAATTTTTTAATTGGGACTGGCTTCCTTGGTTTGAATATACTCTGGACTTACACTGTTGCTGCTCTGAAGAACCATGCTGTATTTAAATGTTAGATTTAAAAATACATTAACGGTCTACTAAACATACCCTCTGGGAAGAAATATTTGGGCATTAAAAATTGAAGTGCCCTGTCTCTGGTCATCTCTAACAGAGAAAAGTTGAAAAGTCATATGTAGCACTTTTTTTCTTGTTTTGTTTGTTGTTTTCTTAATGGATGTGAGAGAAGGATGTTTCCATTGTAGAAGGAAAAATTAGGAATGGTTAAGATTGATTGTTGAGCAGACTAGGAAACGGAGGAAAATTGGGCATAACTTTTCTGAAGGTTTTAGAGTTGGCCAGAATACACTTGCATTTTTAAGCTAATTAATAAACGTACCATGAGGGAATTGGTACAGTCAAGCACAAACCAAAGTAGCACTGTATGCTCCTCAGCAGTTATTCGGCTAGGAGTGGAAATGTGAAAGAACTTTGAAAAGTTCTTAATGAACCCAGTATATGTTTTAGGAAATTGGAGTCAGCATAGACACATTCTTTTCCTCTGCAGTAACTAAAAAACACTGGGTTCCACATTAAAGACAAGAGCCATCAGTTAAATTAATTCTTAGGACCACCTGCTGATTGGCTGATCATTCATAGTAAAACAAAAATAAGGTAGCTTTGGAAAGAAGATGGTGTCCCTGAACTTACAGACATTGACCTTGGAAATTGTGCCGTGCTCTCTTGATGGCTATATAGTATTCCACTGTGTGGCTATATCATAATTTATTTAGCTAGTCCTTTCTTGGTGGACATGTTGGTGGTTTCCAATCTTTTGCCATCACCAAAAAAATAAATAAAAATGCTGCCTTGAATACCTTCTTTGTTAGGGTCATTTTGAAAATGTCGAAAATGTCAGTAGGATAAGATCCTAAAAGTAGAAATGCTGTATAAAACGTCTTAACATTTAAATTATTTTTGATAGAGTATCAAATTACTCTCCCATTTAAACTTCCATCAGTAGTGTAGGAGAGTGCTAATTTTGCCACTTTCCCACACTTTTTGATCTTTGCAAATCCATAGGAGAAAAATAGCTAATTATTGTTTTAATTTGCACTAAGAGCAAGGTTGAACTGCTTTTTATATGTTTAAAAGCCATTTGTGAGCAAAGACTAATGTCTGGCGCTAGGCTTGAATCTAGAAATAATCTTTGCAAGAGTTTCTCTACCCTTAACAGTGTAATTGCTAGGTTCTGGATTTAACTATTTGGGAAAACGGTCCCTTGAAATACACTTGTTAAATGCCATGGAGTCGGTTCCAACTCATAGCAACTCTGTCTAGGGTCTCCGAGGAGTGGCTGGTGGGTTTGAACCGCCGACCTTACAGTTAGCAATCCAGTGCTTCCCCTACAGCAGGCACACCAGGACTCCTTGAAATACACAAAGGACCTGATTTACTCCTGAGGTTCGGGCTGTGAAGAAATATCCTTAACTGATCCCTACATGTAGCTCTGGTAGTGCAGTGGTTATGAGTCAGGCTGCTAATCTCAAGGTGAACAGTTTGAAACTACCAGTGGCTCCATAGGCAAAAGATGCTTTCTGCTCCCATAAAGATTTACAAGCTTGGGAACCCTATGCAGGGTCACTATGAGTCAGAACTGACTCCACGGCACACCACCACCACCATATACAGGACTCCCAGGCATACTGGGTTGAAGGCTCTCAAGCATTTGCTCTCTGCTACTCCCAATCCCCTGACTCTGACATCTCCCATCTGCTGCTATCTGGTTCCTTGAGGATGCTCCTTGATAAAATGGAGATTATTGATGTTGTTAATTGCTGTCGAGTCAATTCTGACCCATAGCGACCCTGTATAGGGTTTCTGAGGAGCAGCTGGTGAGCTTGAACCACGGACCTTGCAGTTCAAACAACTTTGCAGTCTGACGCATTAGCCCACAGCACCACACCAGGTCTCCAAAATGGGGATTAGCAGGTGCTAAAGGAGCTCCTGTAGCACTGCGGGTTAATGCACTGGACTTCAAGGTCGCTTTGAACCATAAGGTCAGTGGTTCAAATTCATCAGCCGCTTCTTGGAGACCCTATACAGGTCTCTGTGAGACTTAATGGCATTCAACAACAAAGGTTATTATCTGCAAAAGGAGGAGGTTGCTGGGTAGAGCAGTGATTTTTAAGCTGCAAGCTTGTTACTTCATTCTGTAAATAGTCAGAGCCTTAGAGGGGAGCCCAGTATACAAAAGAGTTGAAATTAGAGGTGCTCTGATAGCAGAAGGCATAGAGAACCTGGAGCCCATCCCCTTAGCCTGCTGTCTCCACAGTGGGCCCCCACCCTACCCCGCTTGTGAGCCTGAGACATGCCTTAAACCCTAAGGTTTGTCCTGTGATGAACTGATCAGAACCACAGGAGCATCCCTGAAGAAGGGAAAGCACTGGAGTGAAAATGGCAGGCTTCTGAAGTTTTTTGTGTCAGAAATACACATGCAAGACTGTCCATTCTCTAGGCTCTTATAGAACTTTTGTTCTGCTCATAATCAGTGTATCTTGTATGCAAGAATTTTGTTACTTTGTACATGGTCTCCAATCTAGCATATTCACTGGAGTATATCTTAAGCACCCACTATTTGTTGGGTATATTGAATTTCTGGTAATCAAAAGCTACTAGCCTCTTGGAGGATACTGTCTAGTGGGAACATCAGACCTTAAACCGTAAACACAAAACTAAATAAGTAATTACAAATTGTGATGCTTTGATATGAAGGGAAAGAACTTGGATCGGTCTAAGAGACTAGACATTGATGGGCCTAAATTAGATTGTCGACTCAATGTATAGATTTACTGGCCAAGTTATGTTTGTACTGAGACATAAAAAATGAGTTGGAATTGTAGTTGTTATGTGCCGTGGAGTCGGTTCCGACTCATAATGACCCTGTACAGGGCTTCTGAGGCTGTAAATCTTACAGGAGCAGAAAGCCTCATCTTTCTCCTGCAGAATAGCTGGTAGTTTCGAACTGCTGATCTTGAGGTTACCAGCCCGATTCATAACCACTATGCTACCAGAGTTCCTAGAGTTGGAACTAGCCAAGAGTAAAAGTCATGTGACAAGTATTCTGGACAGAGATAACAACATACACAAATGTTCTAAGAGAGGCCAGTGTCTGACCCGTTGAGGGAACGGGAAGCTGGTCAGTTAACAGGTAACTAGGAGCAAGAGAAGATGAGGTTGGAGAAGAGATAGGGACTGGACCAAGCAGGAGCCCCCTTGTGAAGACTAATGCCTGCTGTGGATGGCAGAGCTGACCATATAACACTTCATTCATAGCCCAGTGGTTCCCAGACACACAACAACTCCCAGAGCAGAGTTTGGGGAAAGAGGGAAGTCATTTGAGCCAAAGACCAGCAACTCTTAAGAAAGGACTTGAGAATACCACCACAGATGAAGACATTGAACAGTTTTTGCTGAACTACCTCAAAGAAAAGGATGTGGCAGATGGAAATGTCTTGGATTTTGATGATGATGAAGGTAATTTTGTTATTTTGACTTTGCTGCGGTTTTTTTTTTTCTTTTTAAGTAGGTTATTATAAAAATATTACAGAAAGTCTTAGAAATAAGATAAAAAATTACTTGTAATCCCACTGTGCTAGCATAGCAATTCTCATTCTTTGTGTGTAATCTTATTCCATTTCTCTTTTGTTGCAAACCTATTTTTACCTGCTTGCAGCCATAGTTTAAACACATTATACCCTTTTTGCATTTCATTTTATAAGTAACTCTCTGTGTTCCTATAGTGTTTTCATAATTAATGTTTTAATAGTTCCTCCTAAGTATCCATTCCCCTGTGGGAAGTTGAGGTTGCTTCTAGCTTTTCACTTTATTAAACAGTGCTGCAGTCGATGATTCTGTGCATGTAACCTTCTCCTTTTTGCATATTTCTTTATAAATTCCCAGAAGTGGGATTTCTAGGTCATGGATATGAGCACTATTTTATGCTCGCCAAATTGCTTTCCAGAAAGGTTGTATCAATTTGCACCTTCCCACCAGCAGTGTAGAAATGAAAAGGATTTCACCACAGCCTTGCCAATATTGTCTATTACCAAGTTTACTTCTTAAGGAGGTGAAAAATGGTTCTTGTTATTTTACTTTGCATTTCTTCAATTCCTGGAAAGGTTGAACATCTTACCCTGTGCTGATTTCCTAACAACTTTTTTTCTTATGCCCGTTGTCTGTATATATATATATGTGTGTGTGTGTGTGTGTGTGCGCGCTTTCTGTTTATATATTTTGTCCTTTTATTTGTTGGTGGGATGAGAGTTCCATGTTTTTCTTACCAATTTATATGATAAAGTGGAGGGAGTTCAGGCTAGTGGAAGCTCTGGCCTTTTGTTTTATTCACAAGCTCAATCTGGAGCTTCAGGTCACGGAAGGATTAATAAATTATTAGAATCTCCTCTGCAAATATAAAATGCCAAGTCATAATGAGCTTGGTGGTCTCAGAACTATCCTAAATCGAACTGAGTTCCAAATTAGTTTGCTAGGTTGGAATTGAGCAGATTTCTTTCATTCTTTCTTTATTTTTTGGCATTCTGTGCTCTGAGACTCTTAGATGGACTGAAGCCAGTGCTTCTGGATGACAGGAAAGAATAGCTCGATGCAACTAACTGCAACAAATGCCTTTAAATTGCAGGGAAGCACCATAGGACCCAAATAATGAGTTATGCAGAGTTGAGTCATTGCCCTCTCCAAGGATGGAGTTTTCAGATCAGAAATCTCTTTGCCATTTGCTTCTTGAGCCAGCCCAGTTCTTTTTGTGAACTACACTCCTCATTCAAACCTGGACACCTTAAAAAAGAGGAGGAGTCTTGATCCTGCCTTCACCCCCCAGTCATCTGGCTTTGCTCTTCTTGTTAAATTTCAAGCATTGCCATTCTTTCTAGATTAGCATCTTCTGATTCTAGTTGATGGTCACTTGTAACAGATTGAATGAGTCAAACCTTTCTTCCAACAACAGAAATGTCCACACCCCTCAGATTAAATTCTGCTGTAAGTGAACTCCAAACAACAAACCCTCCTCTGTGGAGAAAAGCAGTCTTGTCGTTCTTCTGAGGAGCCCTGGTAGCGTAGTGGATTATGAGCTGGATCTTGCAGTTGCTCCTTGGGAGAAAAATGAGGCGTGCTGCTCCCGTATAGATTTATAGCCTTGGAAACCTTATACAGGGTCACTATGAGTCAGAATTGACTCGGTGGTATACAACTACCACCATCATTCTTATAGTTTTCATTCATCAAGTCTACACACACATTTGGCATTATAAAGAATGTTTGGGTGGGTGGGTGTTTTACATGAGTTTTTGGTTTTAACTACAATAAAAACCTTGAGTTGCAGAGGTCCCTTTCTCTAAGAAATCTAAATATTCCACAAATATATTTCCATTTATCTTATCAGCATCTGTTAGAGACAGGTGTGGCCTCTATTACATGATGTTTTTTTTCTAGCAGAGGAACAGGAATGAGAAAAAAAAGTTAAGGGAGCAGCATTCAGCTCAATGGAAATCAGTAAATTTTCAGGTTAGGGATCTTGGCCTGGGTTTATGCAACCGTCAAATCTTCATTATAATTTTTTTTAATATAATGTTTTTGTTGTTGAGAATATATGTACCAGAACATACACCAATTCAGCAATTTCTACAGTACAATCCAGTGCCATTGGTGACATTCTTCCAATTATGAACAATTCTCACCCTCCTTTTCTCAGTTGTTCCTCTCCATTACCATAAACTCACGGTACCTAAAGTTTTCTATCTAATCTGTCAGGTTTCTGTCATCACTCTGATCCCATATAGACAGTTCTTAAAATTTTGAATGTAACATTCAAAACAGAGGTTCTTCACCTCTGGTTGTTGTTGTTAAGTGTCATCGAGTCGATTCCAACTCACATTGATCCTGTGTAAGGTTTCCAAGGAGCAGCTAGTGGGTTTGAACCACTGACCTCACAGTTCAAACTGACCTTGCCATCCAGTGCTTATCCTACAGCGCCATACCAAGACTGTGGGGTGGGGGGTGCTGTTAAGTGCTATTGATTCATTCTGCCTCATAGTGACCCTGTATAGTTTCCGAGGAGTGACTGGTGGGTTTGAACCACCAGCCTTGCAGTTAGCAGTCCACTGCGTCTCTTATAGCACCATACCAGGACTCCATGTATATGTATGTGTATATACACTTATTTTGGCTTTACTAAAAAGCATTTTACTTACATTAAATTAATTTGCCATTAAAGCTTATTATGTAAGTCCAACTCAAAACTTATTACAAAGACTTTCTTTTTTGTAACTTTTGTGACATACATTTATTTTTGTTGTTATTTTAATTTACAAACTTGCACCTCTGTAGTGCAACACTCTAGGCAATCAAAGACACATGAAAGTTGGTGATGTGTATCTCATTTAACCCTCATAGTAAGCATATGAGGTACACATGCTATATCTTCTCTTTTCAGATGGGGTACCATAACACAAGGGAACGTGGTAGCGCCATAGGCTAAGCACTGGGTTGTGAACCAAAAGTCAGTAGTTGGAACCTACTGGCCACTCTGAAGAAGGCTTTCTGCTCCTGCAAAAGATTTTAAAAGCCTCAGAAACACTGTACAGGGTTGCTATGAGTCAAAGCCAACTCCATGGCACTTAACAACAACCATAAGACAACAGAAGTTGCTAATAGATTCCGAAGAACTTGAACCAGCCTCCACTAACCAAACCCTACAGCACTGTGCTGCCCCCGTGTTCTCTGCCACACAGAGATAAGGAAGGCTTACTCCTGGTCATCAAGAGATCTTCTTGGCTGGTGGGGAAGACAAACACGTGCCCCCTTTCGTGAGAGGAGGACCCAAGAGGGAAGGCAGGTGGATAAAAGGCAGAACTAAAGCCAGCCTTTGAGCTCCCCAGCCTCAGTCTTCTAGATTAGAACTCTGCCCTATTCTGCTTTCATGGGAGATATTCGTGGAAATTTAGAAAATACCGAAGATATTGGGGGCAAAAATAAACCCACCTATTATCTAAGACCTGTTACTGTCAATATTTTGTTGTACTTCCTCCCATGCAAAAAAATGTCCATAATAGTCCTCCTGTTGTATGTGCAGCTTTATTATTCTGCATTGCTCATTGTAACCCAGCATTGTTTCAGAAGCAGTTTCCCTTGGCATTAAAACTCTCCGTAAACACAAAACAGGGACTTCCATTACATGCCATTGTGGATGTGCTTACATAACTGCCCCCTGTGAGTAAGCATGTCACTTTTCCCTTGTCTTCAGCTGTTACAGTTAAGACTGTGATGAGTGTCTTGGTGCAGATAACTTGACCCAGGTCTCAGGTGGGTTCACCTAGACATTTTTCTCTGATGAATTCTGTCCTGACTGTGAGGTTGGGGGATCACACTCTCCTGAGGCATGTCTGACAAAACTCTGTCCTCATGATGCTCCTTTTCTAGAGGAGCCGACAGCCCCTCCCAAAGTCGATGAGAGTGACACACAGCCCGATGTGGAGCCACCACTGCCGATGCAGATCCAAATAGCCAAGGACGTGCTGGAGCGCTGCATCCACTTGTTGTCGGATCAAAACCTGAAAATCCGCTTGAAGGTCAGTGTTTGGCCCCTTCTCTGCATTAACAGAGCTACAGGACCAAAAAGATTCGGTTGGTTGGCAGTGACCACCCAGATGAGCAAGTATAGCATCCCTTATCTATCTCCTGGTCCATGTGTGGTTAGCACAAGAGGAATTTATCTGTGGGATGACAGTCTTACATCTTTCTGTGTCAGCTCAGAGACCAAAAGGGAGCTGAGTCCTCTGAATTAAAAGCCACAAAGTTTCGGGGATTCATTGAGTCCCCAGGGGAAGGAACGTCTTACACTTTGGACAGGATATCGTTTTCTGAGCTGACTTAATGCAGGATGCAGGTCCTATACTTTCAAGTGGTTATTCCTCCTAGACCAACATGAAGCCTTATCTCTGTTTCTGTTTCCATTTTCATTCTAGGAGAAAACACCAACAATTATTTTGATCTTTCATTCTCATTTCCTGGCAGTTTCCCAAACAGCAACTGCATCAGCACGAGCCTAAAATAATACAGTGGTGGCTCCAGTAATAGTGCTGTGGGGTGGGCTGGTGGTGGGGAGTGGAGCTTTTAGAATCACCTGGGAGATGTTATACCCATAGGAAAACAATACAGCCTAGCCCACTCCCCAAGCCCCAAATAGGAGTGAGAAATACAGTGCCTTATAGAGTCACTGTTGGTGGTGGGAGCACCTTGCCTTGCTCAGAGGTGGTAGGCTAGGATACCCTGATCCACAGACTGTCAAATCTCAGAGTCTGTGGCTTGTGGAATTTGATGAATCTTCCCAGAGACACCTCTTAGCTTTTGTTCATTATTCTGTTCAGCAAGTAATTTTTGAATGTCTGTTATATGCAACACTTTATTATAGGCCTCTGGTTGATATGTTTGGCAAATTCCCATATATCTTTCAAGACTTCCTTAAATGTCTTACCCTTTATGGAAGCTTTATAGCAGCTGGCTATATACCAGAGTTAATAAAAGCATCCACTTTGAAGCCAGATCTATATACTAGTAAAATCTACTTGCCTTCCCATTAGTCTAGTGGAATAATGTACTACGTGAATATTTTTCTTTACTACTCTTGAGACCAGAAAAATTAGATGGTGCCCGGCTACCATTACCAGCTGCTCTGAAAGGGTCACATTAGAAGGTCCGGACTAGAGTGGGAGGAAATGTGGAATAAAACTGAAAATCATAAACAGGACAAGGCATACTGGTGGTATCCTGACTGATGGAACCCCAAGACTATAGCCCTTAGTCACCCTTCAGGTCAGGAACTGAACTCACTCCTGTGCCCCATTCTTAGCCCAGCAGTAGATGTGTAGAGGGTGCAAAAATCCTAGTAAAGTACATACACCATAGAATGCTTAGTCATTCAAGATCAAAGTGACAGCATTTACCTAAGGACAAAATTCAGAAGCTGGAGAGAGAAGAAGGGATGGAAACAGGAATCACAGGGAGAAATGGGATAAGTGATGTTCCATTGAGGAGATTGCAATCATTGTAATTAACCAAAGTATATGATTTGCTGAATGTAAAACTGATGATCTGTTCTGTAAACTTTCACTCAATTCACAATAAAAAAACAAAAAATTAGTTGCCATCAAGTGAACTCCAACTCATGGTGACCCCACATGTGTCGAGCCAAATTGCTCCATAGCACTTTCAATGGCTGATTATTTGGAAGTAGATATCCTACCTTTCTTCTGAGGTCCTTCTGGGTAGACTCAAAGTTAGTGGCTGAGCACATTAGCCATTTGGACCACTCAGGGCCATGTAGACTTACTACTTGAGTTCAAATCCTGACTCTACCCTTTACATGAGACCCGAGTAACTTAATTTACCCTTTTGAGCCTTAGCTTCTTCATCTGTACAATTAAGATGATGCTAAAGACCGAAGACATGAAGAAAGCAAAAAGTCAGTGAGAAGACAAGAAAGAAGGAAAAGGTCAAAATGGATGTCAGAAGAGACACTGAAACTTGCTTTCGAGCGTAGAGATGCTAAAGCAAAGGGAAGAAATGAGGAGGTACAAGAGCTGAACAGAAAATTTCAAAGATCAGCTCGAGAAGATAAAGCCAAATACAACAATAAAATATGCAAAGATCTGAAACCAGAAAACCAAAAAAGAAAGAACATACTCAGCATTTCTCAAGTTGGAGGAACTGAAGAAAAAATTCAAGTCTCGACTTTCGTTATTGAAAGATTCTCTGGGCAAATTATTGAATGATGCAGAAAGTATTAAGAGAAGATGGAAGGAATACACAGAGTCACTGTACCAAAAGGAAATGGTTAATGTTCAACCGTTTCAAGATGTAGCATATGATCAAGAGCCAATGATACTGAAGGAAGAAGTCCAAGGAATTGAAGGAATTGGCAGAGAACAAGGCACCAGGAATTGATGGAATAAAAATTGAAGTCTTTCAAGAAAGTGAGGCAGCACAGGAGGCACTCATTCATCTCTGCCAAGAAATTTGGAAGACAACTATTTGGCCAACTGATTGGAAGAGATCCATTTTTGTGCCCATTCCAAAGAAAGGTGACCCAACGGAATGCAGAAATCATTGGACAATATCTTTCATATCCCATGCGAGTAAAGTTTTACTAAAGATAATACAGAAACAGCTGCAAGCATACATTGACAGAGAACTTCCAGAGATTCAAGCTAGATTCAGAAGAGGCTGGGGAATAAGGTATATCATTGCCGATGGATCTTGGTTGAAAGCAGAGAATACCAGAAAGATGTCTACCTGTGCTTTATTGACTACGCAAAGGCTTTCGATTGTGTGGATCATGACATGCTGTGGACAACATTGCAAAGTATGAGTATTCTGGAACACTTAATTGTGCTCATAAGGAATCTGTACATGGACCAAGAGGCAGTTGTTCGAACAGAACGTGGGAACACTGAATGATTTAAAATTTAAAAAAAGGTTTGTAACAAGGTTGTATTCTTTCACCATACTTCTTCAACCTGTATGCTGAGCATATAATCCGAGAAACTGGGTTATATGAAGAAAAACGTAGCATCAGGATTGGAGGAAGACGCATTAACAACCTGTGATATGCAGATGATACAACCTTGCTTGCTGAAAGTGAATAGGACATAAAACATTTACTGATGAAGATCAAAGAGCACAGCCTTTGGTATGGATTACATCTCAATGTCAAGAAAGCAAAAATCCTCACCACTGGACCAATAAACAACATTCTTATCAATTGAGAAAAGATTGAAGTTGTCAAGGACTTCATTCTTCTTTGATCAATTATCATCACTCACAGAAGCAACATTCGGGAAATCAAGTGACGTATTGCATTAGGCAAATCTGCTGCACAAGTCCTCTTTAAAGTGTTGAAGAGCAAAGATGTCAGCTTGCGGACTAAGGTGCCCCTGACCCAAGCCATGGTATTTTCAATAACCTCATATGCATGTGAGCTCTGGTAGCGTGGTGGTTACGAATCGGGCTGCGAACCGTAAGGTCAGCAGTTCAAAACTACCAGCTGCTCTGCGGGAGAAAGATGAGGCTTTCTGCTCCCGTAAAGATTTACAGCCTTGGAAACCCTGTTCAGGGTTGCTATGGGTCGGAACTGACTCAATGGCACTTAACAACAACAACATATGCATGGGAAAGCTGGACAGTGAATAAGGAAGACCATAGAAGAATTGATGCTTTTGAGTTATGGTGTTGGAGGAGAATATTGAAAGTGCCATGGGCTGCCAAAAGAACCAATAGATCCGTTTTGGAAAAAGTGGTAGCCAGAAAGCTCCTTGGAGACCAAGATGGCCAAACTTCGTCTCTCATGCTTCAGACATATTGTCAGGAGGGACCAGTCGCTGGAGAAGGATATCATGTTTGGTAAGGTGGAGGGTCAGAGATAAAGAGGAAGACCCCTAGCGGGATGGATTGGCCAAGTGGCAGCATCAGTACACTCAAGCGTGGCAACAGTTGTGAGGTTGGCCCAGGATTAGGCAGTGTCTTATTCTGCTATGCATAGGGTCGCTATGAGTCGGTACCGACTCAATGGCACCTAACAACAACAACAACTCTAAGAGTTGTTCATTATAAATGTAAAATCATTAACATAGAGTCTGGCATATACATTCATTCATTTACCAAATGCTAGGAGTCCTGGTGGAGCAATGGTTAAGACACTCAGCTGCTACCCAAAAAATGGGTGGTTGGAGCCCACCTTGCTACTCCATGGGAGAAAGACCTGCTGATCTGCTCCTATAAAGACTACAGACTAGAAAACCTTGTGAGGCAGTTCTACTCTGTCATGTGGAGTTGCTTTGAGTAGAAATTGACTGGACAGTATCCAGTAACAACTGATCCAGTAGAGGGTATATAGAAGGGAACGAGGCTGATGTCATTCCTTGTTTCATGTCTAGAGAAGCCGTATGCAAAAACACCTATACAAGTTGAAAACTGCTATGAAAGTAATTTACAGGTTATACAAGAGAAAGAACTAACAAATCTATCTTGGAAGAAATATAGCAAAATACTCCCCAGAAGCGAGGAAAGCGAGATTTCATCACATGTCTTTGGACATGTTCTTAGGAGGCACCCACAGAGGTAAAGTAGAGGGTCATTAAAAAGAGGTGATTGGCACAGTGGCTGCAACAATGGACTCAAGCTTAATAATTGTGAAGATGGTGCAGGACTGGGCAGCATTTCATTCTGTTGTACATCAGAAAAAAACTCAGTAGCACCTAACAACAACCTATGTACTAAACATGTATTAGAAACCTACTCTTTACCAGATTTTCAGGTGGGATATATTCAAAGTCATATATTGGCTGTCATGGACTTGTTGTAATTTTCTTCAGCTTCAGCCTGAACTTGCATATGAGCAATTGATGATCTGTTCCACACTCTGCCCTGACCTTGTTTGGCTGATGGTATGGAGCTTTTCCAGCATCTCCTTCCACAGATGTCAGTTTGGTTTTGTGTATTCTATATGGTGAGGTCCATGTGATTAAAGATGATTATCTTTTATGCTGTTTAAAAAAGGTATTTGCAATGAAGA